CTATAGAAACATGAAGTGTGAGAAACATGAACCGAGGAAGCTAGGCATAGTAAAACAAGAAATGGAATTAATAAACATTGCAATACACACAGTGAGCATCTAAAGTAAACAGGGATGGGGCATTTTGAGTCAGATAATAATAGACTATTTTATTCAAGAAATGAAAAGCTAACGGTATTTATAGTGATGAGAGAGATAGCAAAAGCAGTCAGCAGATATAATGCAAAGTCTGATAGAATCATGTCAGTAAGACTTCAGGAAAAATCCATTAATATAACCATAATCCAAGTTTATGCTCCAACCACAGGAGCAAAAGAAGAAGAAATTAAAAGCTTCTGTGTGGAATTCAAAACAAAAGTGATCAGACACCAAAACGAGACTTTTTGTTAATCATAGGTGGCTGGAATGCATTAATAGGAAATGGAGCAGAATCAATGATTGTAGGAAAGTTTGGCCTAGGATCAAGAAATGAGGCAGGAGACCAGCTGACTAAATTCTGTGCGGTCAACAGTTTCTTCATCGCAAACATATTCTTCAAACAACCCAAAAAGTGACTGTATATACATGGACATCACCTGATAGCCACTATAGAAATCAAATAGACTACATAATTAGAAGCTGAAGATGGAGAAGCTCTGCAAAAGCAAGACCAGGAACAAATTATGGCACAGACCATAAACTACTAATAGCAAAAGTTAGAGTAACCCAAAAGTGCAAAGACAGTTTTACAGTTGAACATTAATAAAACAAAATTAATGACCACATATGATTCACATAACTTTAAAGGAGATGATGAAGACTTAGAAATGTTCACGATTTTCCATACCCAGACTCAGTCATTAATCAGAGCAGAGACTGCAGTCAAGAAATCAGAAGAAGTCTAGGAATTGGCAAGGCATTTATGAAGGAACTAGACAAGATCCTGAAGTGTAAAGATATATCACTGAATACTAAAGTTAGGATAGTCCATGCCATCATATTTTCCATTTCTCTGTATGGCGGGATAGAAATAAATAAATAAAGAACTATGGAAGTTTTTTTTTATATTGGTAATATTTTGAATAGATTGAGTATGTACTCTAGATTAAGAAAATGTATATAATGTGTATATATAAAATTAATAAATTTTATTATTATTATTTGAAATGTGGTGCTGGAGAAGAGTTCTATGGATATTGTGGACTGCTAAGAAGACATATAAGTGGGTCTTAGAGCAAATCAGGCTTGAGCTCTCCCTCGAAGCCAAAATCTAAACTGAGACTGTTGTACTTTGGACATATCATGAAAAGACATGACTCACTAGAAAAGATTATAATGCTTGGTAAGATGGAGGGCAGTAGGAAAAGAGGAATACCACAGTACAAGTGAATGGACTCAACCAAGGAAGCCACAACCCTGAGTCTACAAGACTTGTGCAGGGCCGTTGATGAGAGGGGTGACTTGGAGGTCTCTCATTCATATGTTCACCATAAGTTGAATTGAAGGCAGCTAACAACAACAAATGCCTGGCCAGATGCATGCAGGACATAGTTGACGAATTATCTGTAGAGAAGAGTTGCCACCTGAGCCTGAGAAAGGAGTAGAGAATGTATGCACTTTCTGATTATATTGGACTGCAGGATCCATGAGTTCCAGCTACAACTGGCGAGGGCTGATAAGAGTTGCAGTTCCTCAACATTTGGAAAGATACATTTCCCTCATCCCCAGCCTAAGATTTTTTCTTAGATCCTGATGGAAAGGGAACATAACACACCAAAGCTATGAGAGCATCAGTGGAAGAAATTATTCCTCATAGTTAATTAAACACAATCTCTTTTTTGTAGTACTGTAGTTTTGTGGCTGGATTTTCACGTTCCATTCTCTCTGCCCCATTGGCATAGCACAGAATAATGTTTGCTATGTTGAATCTGTTCACTTAAAAAAATTAATCTCTGTTCATTATCATCTCTTTGACTCACAAAGCCAAGATGTGTCCTCAACAACAAAGCCTTTTCTACTGTTGCTGATGGAAAGCGCTGTGGTGCCAAATAAAAAAAAAGTATTACTGTACATTTATAGAATAAGGCGATTCCAATGAAGAACTGAGTCAAAACTTAAATTTAGTTTTCTGTTTTGCATTCCATTTAACAAAATGAATACATTTCCAGAAGTGTGGAGTTGGCGTGAGAGGACATGCCAGTACTTGGGCATCAAGTTACAGTGATAACTTAAAAGTGACTGAAGGAAGTATATTAAATGCCAGGAGGCAAATCACTAGTTTGGTTTTGAAAGTGTTGTGCCATCTGGCCAGAAAAAACTAGTCTGGTTCATGGCTGTTAAAAGTGAAGCTCAAGTGCTATAAGAAGTGTTAGAAAAAGAAAGTGAGATTGAATGTCTGGGCAGAATTGTCGCTCTAGGTCTCCTCTCAAGCTATTTTTTAAAACAGCAATAGCAAGTACATTTCTATACCATTTATCAGTGCACTTAAGCATTCCCTAAGCGGTTTACAATATTTAAGCTAATTGCCCCCAACAAGCTGGATACTCATTTTAGCGACCTACTGAAGGATGCAAGGCTGAGTGAACCTTGGAGTTTGGTTCATGTTCCTTGAACACGTTTAACTGATTACTGACACACTTTTTATTCTGATCTGCACAGGTTTTTTGCTCTTCTGCTGTTGCCCACTTTTCTACAGACACTGAAAAGACTTCAGCAAATCAGGCTTAAAAATTCAATGTCTTCTGCACAATTTTGTTTTTCAGTTTAATCAACTCAACTCAGAATGCCATCTCTCCACTCCAAAGTCTATACAGGAAGAAAACACTCATTTGGCTTAGTCTTTCAATTTTTCCCTGCTACAGAACACAGGATCAGTGAACAGTATAGTTTAGTTTTAATAAAAAGAATAGTCTTCTTTTGACTGGTGATCAACTTGAAGGCACATACACACACATGCATGGTTTTAGCTGTCTCCTTTGAGCACCTCTATCTTATGGCCAAGCCAGTAATCAGGTGGCATTGTTAGCAAATGTAAAAATGCCTGTCCATTTAGGGTAGCATTATAGAATAATAGACTCTTAGAACTGGAAGGGACCACAGGGGCCATGTAGTTCAACCCTCTGCCATGCACAACTCATGTGCAACAGGAAAGAACTAATGGACTTGTCCCTGCTGACCCCAGTCACTCTGCTATTAACCTCTTTTGCTGCTGCAGTATGTAATGCTAAGCCATAATTTAGTTCAAGGCAACCTGTGACCCTGAGCCTGAACTCATGCGCTCTTTGGCCTAATTTCAGAAATCAGCAAGCAGTCACTTATAGTATCTACAAGAGTGATCTCTTCATTGCCCAGCAAGCTGTTGGGTAGCGGAGGGAAAGAGGGAGGAAAGTTGATAATGCAGTGACTGAAAGTAAAGGACAGCCTCTCCTACTTGGAGCTCTGGCCTTGTCCAACACTGCCTTCAGACTCACCTAGTGCCTACCCTGTGGCTCTTGACAGATGTCCCCTGAAGGGACGCAGCCATTAACAAAGGAAACGTCCATGTTCCCCCCCCCCTCCGGGTTTAGTACCCATATGTAGATGCTTGGGAAGTCAAGCAAAGCCTGGCCTTCCTCTTCCTGTCCTGCATGGCTAGGAAACCATGCCCTATGAGAAGCTGCTTGGGGAGCTGGGTATGTTTAGCCTGGGGAAGAGTAGGGTAAAATAGGTAGCCCTATTTAAATATTTGAAGGGATGTGATATTGAGGATGGAGCAGTGTGCAGCTCCAGAGACTAGGGCTCGGAGCAATGGATTCAAACTAGATGAAAAGAGATTCTACTTTCAGCATTAGGAAGAACTTCGTGAGAGTAAGAGCTATTCAGCAGTGGAATACTCTGCCTTGGAGAGTAATGGAGTCTCCTTCTATGGAGGTTTTTAAAGAGAGGCTGGATGGGCATCTGTCAGGAGTGTTTTGATTGTATATTGGCATGGCAGGGGGTTGGACTGGATGGCCCTTGAGGTCTCTTCCGACTCTATGAGTACTCAGTACTTAGTTTAGGTATCACAAAGTTGGGGCTTTGCATTTTCTACAAACCAAAGACTGTCTTAGAATTGTGACGTGCATCATCTCCTATGACTCAGGAAGGTAGTATCATGTTTAAATCAGTATAGGAAGTATGGCCAGTTTGTGCCAAGTAGGTTCACTGCCCCATGTACTTTGTCATACAGTTCTGGCTGGGAGCATTCCTCATCTTTACAAAAAATCCAGATGCTATAAAGGAGGGTCAAGGAAGGGTTAAGACATGGGGTGAGGAGAGAACTGTATGAAAGGTATGAAGGGTACCTCCAATAAGGAGGGACACCAAAAATCTCACTAAATACCGAATGGGAATGGCTTGCTTCATAATCCAAAGAACAAGAGTTGTAGAAAGCAAACAAGGGTAAAACAGAGTCTCAGATCAAAAGAGACTTAACAACATGCTGCTTGTGCTATACCATATACTATGATAAATAACTGAAGACCAGTGGTAGCTGGTGTCTTTTATGTCAGAAGGGCAGTGAATCCTCTCCCGGTTTTAATCCAAACTTTAAAGGAGCTATTCAAGATGCCGACCTTATTCTGGGGATAGGACTAGTTTGGACTAAAACCCTGAATAGTTTTACTGCCCCATTAGGCACACACAAGTCTGTGGTGGTAATGTGAATTGTGAGATTCAAAAAAAACTATTTTAATGTAATGTAGCTTGCCATGGTTGTGGGGAATGCAATCAACATAATTGAGTTTGGAAGCTGATAATGGGAGCTGGGCCTCACACTTCAGCCTTTAGAAAGATTTTTCTGAGCTTCCAACAGTATAATTATTGTCATGCTGTTTATTTCTTTGAGTTGTTGTGTGCCTTCAAGTCATTTCTGAACTACAGCGATCCTAAGGCAATCCCATCATGGACTTTTCTTGGCAAGATTTGTTCAGCGCAGATTTGCCTTTGCCTTCCTCTGAGGCTGAGAGAGTGTGACCCACCCAAGGTCACTCAGGCAGTTTCCATGGCTGAGCAGGGATTCAAACCATGGTCTCCAGAGTTGTAGTCCAACACACAAACCACTACACCAAGCCAGTCCTCACTATGTACTGAATAGCAATTACTGGGCGACCAAAATGAGCTGGAGAAACAGTATGAAACAGTATGAAGTTGAGAACTGAGTATTTTTTAAAATAAAATATCCTGGTAGAAGACTAAACAGAGACAAAATGATGTCTTCCCTAATGTTGGTCTGAATTGCTGCCAGAAAATTGCTAACCATGCCACTCTGAGAATAGATTTGATCTGCTGCTCTCATACAAACTGTTCTCATGTGTTGACATTGGCAGAGCTTTATCAGTGAAATTAAAACTGCAAAGCAAACTGATTTGTGATATGTTCTTTCCCCTGGTTTATGGTTTCTTTGTTTTCTTTTAAATTTCTTCCAGTACCTTGTGAATTGTCCTTTATAGTCTTTTTTCAAGATCTTGCACCTTGCTATTTCACTAATTTTTCCTGGTCCTTTTTCCACTGGACCTAGTTGAGATGTAATGTGTCTTAGAACAGTTCCTGGAAAGAGCACAGTTTTAATAATCTTCAGTACACATGGATATATATGTTCCATTTTAAGAGAACATTACTTGTCTACAGGTGAAGTTTTTAAGAGAGGGATTTCCATATTCCTAAATTTGATCTCAGCATTTTTTAGTGATGCAACTTGCATTTGATAAATAATGCAACATATTTCCATCAGCTGGCAAACACTGTTTTATTCCAGCAGGCTTCTGGAAATCAATTGTTTTTCAAAAAAAGGACTTTTAATAGGGGGGTGCACTATTTTCAGTGGTTTATTATTTTTTATCTTTAAGGTCTGTTTTAAATTGTTTATTATTTCATTGATCATTTAATTACCTTTTAATGATACTCTTTTGTATATTTTTATCTCTATTGTATCTGTTTAAATTTGTAAGTGGGCCTAAAACCTACTTGTGAAGGAAAGATCAGATTAAAATTTAAGGATTTCTTTGGTGGTTTTCTTCCATTCTACACTTTTAGGTTTGTAGTAATAGTCTTCATTATTAGAAAAGGAAGAAGGATCTATATTAGAATGAAGTATATCACTGTGGCTTCAGTAAAAATAAATACAGCTTGTAACTTTTTGCCCCGTTGCCGCTGTGGTGAGTCAGAATTTCCTCTGGTCAGGAAAGTTTTGAAGAAGTGTTCTTCGCCTTCTCTCCCCTTTTAAGGCAACAGATGAGTAACATCAGCATCGATGATAAAGCAAAGCAGTAGCTTCTGTGAATGTTGGCAAAGGATGCCCTAGCAGCCATATAGATAAGTATTGTTTAAAATTGCAAGATGTAACAGAGGACTTTGAAGTAGGCTGCTTCTGCACTTTAGAAATAATCCAGTTTGACACCATTTTAACTGTCATGGTTCAGTGTGATAGAATTCTTGGAATTATAGTTTTGTGAAATATTTAGTCTTCTCTATCAAGAGAGCTCTGGTGTCCCAACAAACCACAATTCCTAGAATTCCATATCATTGAGCCATGGCAGTTAAAGTGGTGTCAACCTAGATTATTTCTGCAGTGTGGATGCAGCCAGTGTCAATTCCCTTACAGGAATCTCTCTCTCTCTGAATGCAGTTCAGTCCTACTAAAGAGAGTAGTGCGTCCATGATACTTTTCTTTTTTGTCTTCCCTCTCCCCCATGTATGAGTACGTGAAGGAGATAAACAGATGTGGTTAGTGGGTTGTTTCTGAAGCCCTTGTACAACTGAATCAATTGAAGAGGAAAGGAAACATTTGTCAAAAAAGTGATTATATTCCATATGACTGTGTTCTTATCATAAGTCTGTGCTGGAAATAAATCCATAAATTTAATAGTCCCCTTTTCCTGTCTCACATACATGCATAGTATGGTCAATTCTGTGGAGTGTTTTTGTAGCTATGAAAATAACATGCTTTGGAGATCTGCCACATGAGTGATGTTGAGCTAACATCTAATTCATTTCATAAGCTTAGAATATTTAGACAGAAGAAATATTTCAAAAGCTGGAACGGATTGGTTAATAAAGAAAAAACTGATTAGCTAACCAAACAATTATACAGTTACTAAACAAATGCCAGCTTATGGGGAGAAGAGATTTTTAGCAGGGGTTTGTTTTTGCAGAAACTGTTAAGAGTTATCATAGTTAGCTAAGCCCAGGAAAAGTAACAGCTAACCTGAAGGTAGGACATTTCCTGACTGAAACACTGTGATACTAGGGAGGGCAAAGTGTAAGAGAGTAAAAATACTGATGGACAATAAATAGGTTGGTCTTTTCCCATTTCTGTTTGTTATTAATGGCCATCAAAACAGTTTCAACCTATAGTGACCCTATGAATGAGAGACCGCCTAGGCACCCTGTTACCAGCAGCCATGCTCAGGTCTTGCAGACTCAAGGCTATGGTTTCCTTGATTGAGTCTATCCACCTGCAGTGCAGTCTACCCCTTTTCTAGTATCTTCACCAAGCATTATCCTCTTTATGCTAAATCATGTTGTTGCATGGTGTGTCCAAAGCTCAACAGCCTCAGTTTAATCATCTTGGCTTCTAAACAGGGCTCAAGACTTCATTTGCTGTTGTTGTGTGCCTTCAAGTTGTTTTTGATTTATGGTGGCCCTAAGGGATGCGGTGGCTTAGTAGTTAAGATGCCAAATGGGAAGATTGGCAGGTTGGCAGTTCGAGGCCCGGGTGCTGCATGATGGGGTGAGCTCCTGTCTCTAGTCCCAGCTTCTGCCAACCTAGCAGTTCGAAAGCATGCAAATGCAAGCAGATAAATAGGTACCACCTCTCAGTGGGAAGGTAATAGCGTTTGGTGCAGTCATGCTGGTCATATGATCACCGGAGTAATCCTCGGACAACGCTGGCTCTTTGGCTTAGTAACAGAGATGAGCACTGCTCCCTATAGTCAGTTACAATTAGACATTCATGTCAAGGGACTGCCTTTGCCTTTCAAGGCCCTACAGACCCTATCACTGGGTTTACTTGGCAAGGTCTATTCAGAAGGATTTTGCCTTTGCCTTCCTCTGAGACTGAGCATATTTGCTCTTGGACCATTAATTTGTCAGTTTGGCAGTCTCTTCTCCAACACCACATTTCAAATTAATTTCTTGTCATTTAGTTTATTTGATAATTAACTGATTCTCAATTAATTATTATTATTTGATGATTTAGTTGATTCTCAGTCAGTTGATTGCTCATTTCTGTACCGGTGAGGCTTCAGCTTTAAAAATTAAGCTGTCTTCTAGTTCTCCCATTTGTTTCATGTCAACGAACAAATAGGTGAAGATAGCTGATGAGCCCATGATTTCTGAAGCATGCCTTAAACCTTGACAATTATGGAGAGCAGTCAGTGGATTGTGATAATGGAAAGACTTAGGTGCTACGAATATTCAGAGCTTTATAGATAAACAATTTCATGAAGAAAATCCGAAGTCTTTGTTGAAAAAAGTTGGAGTTTGGGTCCCTTATAAATTACTGTATATACTCATGTATAGGTCTAGAATTTTTAATCAAAAATTGACATCCAAAACCTAGGTTGACTTATCCATGGGTCAATGTGAGTACTGTACTTTACATCTTATTTTAAAAAGGAACCATCCCCTGGTGAAAGGCAAGAGCATAATCTGTCCTGGAAGCAATGACCCCTCTCTGTTCTCTCATCCATCCAGGCTTTAGAGTGAGCACTGTTATACCTGCTGGAATTTTGGAAATTCTTTGGCATTGTTTTCCTTTGCTTCGTCCTTTTTAGGTCCTTTGTTACATGTTCTTAAGTTTTACCCTCGACTTATCCATGAGTCATATCAAAACCCATAATTTTAGCCCCCAAACCTCCCCATGACTTATACATGAGGTGGACTTATAGTTGAGTATATACAGTAAGCAAAACGATATGCACTAGTTTTTACATAATTTAACTGTTTGTTTAATTGTCCTCCTTATTCACATATTCTTTGTCCACACATTCAAATATCCACAGCTTAAAAATATTTTAACAAAAAGTATAAATTGCAAATAGCAAACCTTAATTTTGCCATTTTATGTAAGGGACACCATTTTACTAGGCCATTGTATTTAATGGGACTTGAGCACCCACGGATTTTGTTATCCACGGGAGGTCCTGGAACCAAACCTCAATGGATAACAAGGTCCTACTGTAATTTTAAAGCTGATGGGGAAATGGAACAGAACAAAGTTGCACTTGGGGGGAAAAACCTAACTATCAGATAACCCAGTTTTACTTAAAGTAGATTTTCCTGCTTTAGAGCCTTGGAGAGTTACTGCCATCGGTGTGGACAATGCTGGATCAGTATAAGACAGCCTCTTAATCGTGTGTGGTAGGCTCATGACTTTCCTTTATTTTATTTTATTTTATTTTATCCTGCCTTTCTCACAATATAAAACCACGTTAAAATGACATTTTAAAAAACAATTAAAATAGTCTAATTAAAACAGTAAAAATTTAAAACATACAAAATTTAAGACATACAAAGGTTTTAAAAAACTCATTAAAAAGTCTTAAAAGATTTCACAAAAGTCTTAAAATATTTCACAACTCAAAGACTCTTCTGGAAGGTCGTGGTGGCTGACTTTCGATCCAAAAGGGTGGAATAGGGTGGAAATTGGTAGAAGAGGAGTTTGTGCCACATGGAGCACAGAATTGCAGAGGTAAGCAGCATTCTGCCATGATGACAGTAGTAACATTGAACAAAGCCGAAAGTGTTGCCCGTAGTAAGAACTGCTGTTCAAACTGTCGCATTGTTTGCCTATGGTACATTGTTTTCCCCGTGATTGTGCCCAGAGAATGAGAGAGACAATTCAGTGCTTTTGTGAAGGATCCTGAAACTGTGGCATAATACCCACCTGAATAAACGGAGTTTTGGGAATACAGGTGCTGCTTTTAGTAGCCTTGGTTGAATTCCAAGTGTAGTGGAAGCGTTAGAACAAAATGACATAGGTAAATTGGTGAAGAAGGATAAACAGAAGTTACAGCGGTTTGGAAAATGCAACAGATTATAGATAATAAACACTGGCCATGCCTTTAACTGG